GACCTTATTGCCAATACAAGTACACTCGTAAGACTCTTAGGAGAGGTATACATCTCTTTAGAAACACAGTCTTTTTGACAAAAAAAAGGGGGGATCCGAGGATCGCTTAGAACCCGATTTTCCCAGGTCATGGGGGGATCACGATGATCGCTTAAGTCCCCATTTCCTTAGACATGCATTTCTTTATAAAGAGTCTAAATAAGTGTTATATTGTATTGATTTAGTCCTCGTTTTATACAGTTAAAAAAATTTACAGATACACAATTAATTAGAACGCTTACCGATCCACCATAGACTGCCAGCAAGCTTCTTTCGCTTGATATGATGGTTCCAGTTGCTCTTGAAATGCCGTATGCACCATCTCTGTGACCAGTTCTAGGCTGGATCAAAGCCTAAGATAGCAGCCTGTATACCGGCGTGGCGATCTGAGATGATAGTCAGGTTCGTCCGCCTGGTGACATGGAGCTGAATTTGTCTAAAGAACCATCCATAGCTATCTGTATTCTCTCCCTCCACAATGGCAAAGGCTAATGGATACACTAATCTATTTGCATCTGCTCCGCTGGCAATCAGTAGAGTACCCTTGTACTTGCCGGTAAGGAATGTTCCATCAACTTGAATCGCAGGAACACAGTATGGAAAACCATCAATACATGGCTTGAAGGCCCAGAAAAGACGCTTGAATTGGCGATTGTTACCAGTCACCGGCGGTTGAATTTCTTCATCTTGGTAGCGAGGCGAGAAAATGGTGCCAGGGTTAGACACCTCAAACGCCAAAATCAATTTGGGAAGGAATGCATATGATTCTTCCCAGTCACCAAACACGGCAGCCATTGCTTTCTGTTTCCCATGCCACGCTTTCTTGTAGTTAATGATATAACCATAACGACTAGAAATGTGGGCGATGATGGTTTTCACCTTCAGGTCGGGCTGCTCCTCAATTAGATGTTTGATAGCCGCGGCAACCACCCTTGATTTCAACTGTCGATGGCCTTGGGATGTTATTGATGACACACATGTGTGTGTGTTCACCGCACGGGATATGACCCAATGGCCGACTCTCTTACTCTTGATGGCCCGGACCCTAGCTTTGCATCCCTCATTTTCATTTTTGCATCGAACCATCAGCCTCTTTATGTCGGAATGGGTTGTTTGCCATTCAAAACTCCGAGTCATTGCTTCAGTGAAAATAGCATGTCGGACCTCATTCTTCGTTGCAAATTGTTGGCCCTTCGTAAAGCCAGTAAGTGGACCCCATACTGGCACATCTGGCGGGTCCATGTCGGCATCAACATACCAATCTTCATTTTGAATGTGATTGTAGTATGGAATAGGTACACGGTCGTGAGGTACCTCATCACCATCTGCGTCTGAATCTGGACCGGAATCATCAGCACCTTCCAGCGGATCGAAGCTGTCTGCACTAACTTCGCCTTCCTCTTCTTCAACCTCAGGGTCACTAACTGGACTTGGATTGACCTCTTCTTCCATCTGATTATCAGCATGAAAGGCACCTTCACCTTCACTAGCTCCGTAATGGTAGTTGTGGTAACTAACACCGCTTTGATAGAAGTTGTATTCGGGTGGGTACTGGTAACCTGCTTGTTGGTTGTAATCCGCCTGTTGAGCTTCTTCTTCATATGAAGGGAAGGATTGATGACTTCCTCCAGTTCCATGATGATACTCTTGCCTCCAGCTCGAGTCTTGGAAATCTTGGTGGGGATGATCTTCGTATAATACACTCCCACCGTGGATACCAGATGTTTGGCCATCTCCAGAATGACCTACACTGCCTTCGACGGCCTCCGTGTAAACGAACATCTCCGCTTGCTTAATTTTATTGGTGGTCAAAAATTGGACCATGGCATTAACGTCCTCCTGAGTGGTAAGGAGGAATTCCTCATTCCACAGCGACCCATCATGTCTGTTTGGATATCGATACACCATTCGATCAACTCTTCTAGTGCCATCCATGCAGGTAATCCGAGTGCACATTTGATGGAGCTCTTCAAGCATCGGTCTCGTACGGACCTTCATTTTATAAAAATTGCCACCGACGTAACTTACACCCTTTTCGGTCTCTTCCGTGTAACCATTCCACCGCAACCCAAGCGTGAACCTTTGGAATGCCATCTGCAATGAAAAGTAATACAAGTTACTAACATAACATCACAAAGGACAATGAAAAGTAATTAAGTTACTAACATAAAATCACAAAGGACAATGAAAAGTAATTAAGTTACTAACATAAAATCACAAAGGACAATGAAAAGTAATTACGAAACAAACTTACGAATTAACGTTAATCGCAAAAACTAAATAATTTAAAGGTGCAAAGCTGAAATTTTAAGAAGGAAGAGGAGGAGTGTGAAGAATTGAGTTCTCTGAAACAACCTTTTATAGGCAAATTTTGCAGCAAAACCGCTGGGGGGGGGGGGGGGGGAGCGGTTTTAGGTCTGCCATGCAGCCCTACCCCCCTGCATGGCGACATGTCCGACATGTTTGCTGTCGGGTGACCAGGCACAAACCGCGCCTTGGGGCAGCGGTTTATGTCCTAACATTGTAAACCGCCGCTTGATGAGGCGGTTTGTAATGCCGACATTTAAACGCTCCCTCTTGAAGCGTTTTGTGGTAGGGTTAGCCTATAACCGCGCCTTCCAGAAGTGGTTTTTGCTGGAAATTAAAAACGCCTCTTGGAGGCGCGGTTATATTGTAAAACGCTGCCTAGAGGCGCGGTTTCATTAAAAACCGCTCATTAGAGGCGCGGTTTTATATAAACGATGGTATTTTTGGAAATTATTTGGAGTAGGTGGTATTTTTGTAATTTTTTTTAAACAGTGGTAGTTTTGGATTTTTTCCCTTCCGACTTTATTGACCAACAGTCTTCCTTCACCTCCAACCTCACCACCCCTAACTCACAAGCCTACTCAGTATCTCAAATTCCACCACCATATCCCAACTACTCAGGTAAATATAATATGTCCACCTCAAGTCAGTTTAACCAAACGAATGCTTCTATTATTTGGATCCTTGATACAGGCGCTTTAGATCACATTTCTTGTTCTATATCTCCATTCATAGAGCATAAACCAATACAAGATATCTATGTGAATTTTTCCAACACTACTAGGGTCTTGGTTACTCATATTGGTACAGTTAAACTGCCTACAGGCTTAATCCTACATAATGTCTTTCTCGTACCTAGCTTTTCTTTCAACCTCATCTCAGTGAGTAAACTTAACAATGATTGTCCATTTGTCTTACACTTTCATTTCAATATATGTCATATTTAGGACCAATTAAGCTTAAAGATGATTGGTTTAACAAGAGAACATAGAGGCCTTTACCATCTCACATTTCCACCTTCAACCCAAGACCAAAAGTTTGAACCTCAGGCAGCCACCATCTTAAATTTCAACCCTCTCCAGTTTGACATTTGGCATTGGAGATTAGGTCATGCTAGTGGTGATAGAATTTCAATGTTGCAGAAATCCAATCGCACTACAACTAGCTCTAAGATTCTACACTGTGATGTATATCATTTCTAAACACAAAAGACTTCATTTCCCTATTAGTACCATCATTGCAGATTCTTCATTTGACTTGGTTCATGTGGATATATGGGTTCCTTTATCTGTTGAGTCTTATGATGGTTATTCATATTTTCATACTGTGGTTGATGATCAAAATAGAGAAGTGTGGTTTATCTTATGAAACATAAGCATGAGACCAGAGATTTGTTGAAAGGATTCGGTGCTTTAGTTCAAAATCAGTTTAATACAACTATTAAAGTAATCAGAAGTGACCAAGGACAGGAATTTCATATGAAAGACTACTTCATGGAAAAAGGAATAGAACATCGGATGTCTTGTGTTGAGACTCCTAAACAAAATGCTAGAGTTGAAAGAAAGCATCAACACATCCTGAAGGTGTCTAGGTCCCTTAGATTCCAGTATGGTTTACCCCTATCTTTTTGGAGTGAATGTATTCTACATTTAGTTCACTTAATTAATCGTATGCATACCCCTATCTTACATGGGAAGTCTCCATTTGATGTGCTTTACAACCATCAGCCCTTCCTTGGTAACTTGAAGGTCTTTGGCAGCCTTTGTTATGCTAGTACTCTTGGGCATAACAAGACAAAGTTTGCACATAAAGCAAAGCAATGTGTTTTTCTTGGGATACCTGCAGGGGTTAAAGGCTACAAATTACTTGACCTTAATGATAGAAAGGTGTTCATATCTCGAGATGTTGTCATTTATGAGACAATCTTACCTTTCAGAGATTGTCAGTACACATTAGAACATACTTCTCCAGCCCCTTCTTCTCTTCCTCAACACATTCCTGTCTCAGCACCCCCTATCTTGGTTCCCACATCTTCACTCCTCTTCAATCGACACCTGCTACCTTTCACCAGGAATTAGCTATAAGGGGGGAACCTAGCTCCAGTTAGGGGTGGCAGTTCGGTTGTCGGTTAGCGGCTAACCGAAAACCGACTCCTAATAAGCATCTGTCGGTGGTCGGCGTGGATGGTAGAAGCTTTGGTTAGCAGAGTAACCAAATTCGGTTAACTAGCTAACCAAAGTAACCGACCGAGGGTTCCCACCATACTCTACATGACATCGTTCCCCCCTCCCCACGACGCCGTTGCACAAAATACCTCTCACCAATCCATTCACCAACCGGCCAACCCTACCCTTTCTTTCTCCCCCTGTTCCCAGTTCCCCCGTCGTCACCCCTGCAACATCCCGAACCTTTTCCCGACAAGATACTGTCCGCTTTGGGCCTCTACACCCGCACAGATTTCAACTTGGGGTGCAATTCATGGTGACTTCCCATAAGGTCACCCATCCTTGTTGTAATCCACACTGAGCACGTTTAACTTTGGAGTTCTCACAAGAACTCCTCCATTACACCCCAAAACGCGTCTTGTCAGTTAAGGCTGGTTTCCTACTTATGAACCATGGATCTCTCCCGTGCTTTATCGGTGTGGGATTTGCCTAAGGTGTTACAACCCCCTTCCTCGTCACCAGATCCCCAACGGCCCATCGCGCGTCCTCCTCCACCTCCGCATGCGTCAGCCTTTGCAGCCGCGCTGGTCCCACCTTGGCCTCCGGTCGTCTCGTCTCTGTCTGCCTCCGAGGTCGAGCTCCACGCCACCAGCCACACCTCCGTTCGTCCGCCCGCACACCCTCCTTGCCGCATTTCGCCGTCATTGAGCAGAGACATGCGACAGTAGTACAATAGACAAGCACCTCGCCGGTCGCCATTCACACTCACCTCGTCGGTCGCCCTTCGAAATCTGGATTTGCAGAAGAAGAATGGCAGTGCCCAGCGGTGTCGATAGATCTGAAGACTGAAATGGAGGTTTGGAAGGAAGGATCGAGAACTTTGGAGTTAGAAATAAGGATTGAGCGGTGGAGAAATTTCCGTATGTTTTTTTAATGAACTCCCTAAAGCGACAACATTTTGGAGATAAGGAGTATTTTTCGGCTATGCGGCTAACCGAGCCTAAAACAAAAAACCGACCGTTCGGTTGGTCGGCTAAATGGAGCCTTTTCTCGGTCGGTTGTTGGATTGTCTATGGAGGGATTAGGCAAACCGAAACCGATCGACTGCCACCCCTAGCTCTAGTGAAGATGCTATCTAGGAAGAGGAAGATGAATTTACTTTTGATCCTCCTTACGAGGCAGAACAACCTTAACAAGACTCTGAGTTAACGCCAAAAGCTGAATTTGATCCTCTACCAAGACGATCATTGAGGCAACCAGTTCTACCAGCAAGACTTAATGATTGTGAAGTGGATCCTCAATTGACTTTTGGTGCTTTTGGTATAGCTGCAACTACCAGTCAGACACCCTATATGTTTGAATGTGGATTGTCTGAATGAGAAGGATATAATATATGCCTTAAGTGTCCTAAAAAATGAAGAGCCTAGATCATACCATGAAGCAATCAAGTCTATTGAGTGGAATAGAGCTGTGATTGAAGAAATACATGCAATAGAAGCCAACCAGACTTGGGAAATTGTGGAAGCACCACTAGATAAACATATAGTGGGTTGCAAATGGGTTTTCAAACTCAAACTGAAGAAAGATGGATCAATTGAAAGATACAAAGCTAAACAAGTGACTAAGGGATCCACACAAATATATGGGATTGATTTTCTGGACACTTCTCTCTAGTGGCTAAGATACATTTAGTAAAACTCCTATTAGCCATAGCAACAGTGAATAATTGGACACTTGAGTAGTTGGATGTATCCAATGCTTTCCTGAATGGAGATCTATGTGAGGATGTTTATATGCAGGTACCACCTGAGATTGAGTTACCAGCTAGAAGTCCTAACATAATGACCTGCAAGCTAAAGAAATTCTTGTATGGTCTTAAGCAGGCATCAAGGCAGTGATTTTCCAAGCTAACTGGTTTTCTGTTGAAGAGTGTATTCTACTCATCTTCTGATTACTCTATGTTCACTAAATGGGTTAATGGGAGGATTGTGATTTTACTGGTTTTTGTTGCTGACATAATCCTAGCTGGAGATGCTCCGAATGACATAGATCAAGTGAAGAAGGCCTTGAGAGAGTTCAAAATTAAGCTTATAGGACCCTTGAACTATTTTCTGGGACTAGAAGTTAATAGGACTGCAGAAGGTTTGACAGTGTGTCAAAGGAAATATTGCATTGACTTGCTTAATGATGCTGGATACCTAAGTGTGAAGGGATGTTAATCACATTCAGACTCAAAGGTTAAACTGATAGCAACACAGGGAACCCTCTTAGAAGACCTAGAGTAGTACAAAAGACTAGTTGGAAGACTCCACTACATCATAATAACCAGGTCTGACTTGACATATTCAGTTGAGCAGCTATGCCAATTTCAAAAGAAGCCTTACTCAGATCACTTGTAACCATAGTATAGGGTGCTGAGATATCTTAAATCATCTCCAGACTAAGGCAATCATTACGACATCAAGGCAGATTTGAAGTTAGTAGGGTTATGTGACTCAGACTAGGACAGTTGTCCTGACACCAGAAGATCAACCACATGTTACTGCACTTTCCTTAGAAATTCATTGCTTACTTGGAAGACAAAGAAACGAACCATAGTGTCCAGATCATCATATAAAGCCGAGTATAGTGCATTGGCTCTTTTGGTATGTGAAATTGACTAGTTGAGAGTATTGCTAGGGGAGATGAAATGTCAAGATACTCTTACCAATGGTTGTGTAGTGACAACAAGTCTGCAATTCATATTGTAGAAAATCTTGTCTTCCACGACAGCACAAAGCATATTGAAATAGATATGCATGTTACAAGAGAGAGGCTGAAAACTGGATTGATTAAGTTGTTTCATGTTAGCACAATTAACCAGCTTGCAGATCTGTTTACCAAAGGCTTGAACAAGAACATGTTGAGAGATCTACTAGGCAAGTTGGGAGTAACAAAAGCACTCACAACTTGAAGGGGGGGGGGGGTGTCAACTGATCTTGGAGTCTTGATCCCAGAAGGATAGCAATCGAAAGAAGAAGCCAAGTGTTGTTGAAGAAGGCAAAACGGAGCCGTTTCCATCAAGTTAAAGAAGCCTAGAAGAAACTACAATGTTTGTGTGTTAGAATTAATAGCCGTTATTAATTACTGTTTTGTTTGTAATAGTGCCAGTAAAAAGCAGACACGTAGCTGTTGTGAATAAATTAAACTTAACGGCTAATATATATACTGCAACAGAGCAGACCCTGCTTCTTTGAGGGTTTTGCCACTAAACCTAGCAAATTCTCCATATAACCTGAAATAGATAGTAGGAATTACATGTGATTGTTAGATACAATTATAGGTGTCAATCGGGCGGGTTCAGGCTGGATTCAATCGGGTTTGGGTTCAAACGGGTTGCAGATTCATCGGATTACGGGCTTATTGGGTTCAGGTTCATCGGGTTCGGGTCCAAACAGGTTGCAGGTTAGTTGGGTTGCGAGTTCATCGGGTTCGGGTTCAATCGGGTTGCCGGCAAAATCGGGTTATGGGTTCATCGGGTTTTGGGTCGGGCGGGTTGCGGGTTTTTCGGGTTAGCGCATCGAGTAACTTACTCCTTATTTGTTACCAACTTACACATTTTATTACACTAATTTAAAATATTTTCTCAATTTTTAATCAATTTCTTTCTACCTCGTATATATACTTAATTAAAAAAAAACTAGTCAAAATGTTAAATCAATTTATATGACTTGCAGACTTGTTATGTAATTAATCATAATTGGTAAAGTACACTAGCTAATAGTAATGGTTATATCAACATTTGCTACCAAAAGACACCATCAATTATGTATTTGGTATTTTAATATTATTTCAGTAGTAATTGGATTATAGTATCTCGTTTAGAATAACTATGCAAATATGGTATTTGGCGTGTGATATTTGGCAAAAGCAGAGCGGTAAAAGGATTTATTTCGAAATAACTCATTGCCCTAATAACTTCAGTAAACTTTTGCCAAACGAGTTATTTGTAAAATTGTTCGAATTACCGTAAAAATTGAACCATTAAAGATTAACTATCAAATTTAGTAAAATTGTTGTGACTCCAATCATAACTTACTCAATAACATATATCCTATACACTTAGCCTTACTCTCAATCACAATATTGAGTTAATATATGTTGTTCATCGTATACCCTAAACCATCAATATATTATACACTAACAACATACCCTACCCTAACTATATATCCCTATGAGTTATGTTTTGCTAGTATAATTAATTTAAAGTGAAATTCATACTTTAATTTTCGAAAGATAGATAAAAAAGTGATATTTGCTATACCCTTACCATATATCATATACTCTAGACCATATACCTTATAACCTAACCACGTACCATAAACATAAATTAAAAAGGGATCTCCTGCCGTTAAATATTTTAAATGACTTCAAGTGAACATATATTAATAAAAAACTTAGAACCATCAAAACCATCAATACTTTATACCCTAACCATATACACCCTAAACCATATGTACCTTATATCATATACCCTAACCATATACTTTATACCTTAAACAACGAACCGTCAAAAATTAATTATCAAGTTTAGTATAATTGTTGACTCATATTCACCCGCCCTTAAATTTTCCATTCCAAAGTTCCCATCCAAACCTCCCTCTCATTTTCCATTCCAAAGTGACCGGCAACCCAATTAACCAAAACTTTCAAACCCGCAACTCGACTGAGTTATTCGTATGACTTAACATGCCAATTTTAACAACCATTTTGAAATGAAAGTTCAACTTGAACACAACTTTAATGTGCGAAAAATTTACTAAGTGTTATAAAATAACGATCATGTAGTGTTGAAATTGCAATAAATGTTGAAACATAGAAAACAAGTAGACAAATTAAGTGAATTTTTCTAAAAATAAATGATTGCGGCAAACACCAAATTTGTTTTCTTCTTTAAAATACTAAAATTCTCATCCTTCTTTCTCCTTCCATAAATTAGAAACACTCAATTTTTCCGCCTCTTTTTCTTCCATAAAATTGAAAAACCAAATTTGAAATTTCCCTCCTCTTTCTCTTCTATTTGAAGAACCAGATTTCCATATTGCTTCATTTCTTTTGCAAAAAGTTGAAAACTCAAAATTTCCCTCCTTATTTCTCTTTCATAATCAAAAGAACCAAACTTTCCCACTTCTTCACTTCCCACCAAAGTTGTCAAACCGGTTTATGCCAATGTGCCGGTTTAGCAAGTGGAATGGTTCGACCGGTGGCACATACCGATTTGTGTCGGTTCATGCCGGTCAATATTACAAATAAAATTATAAATACTCATATTTAAACATGACATTGAGAGTTAATATCTAAACATTTATACTTGACTCCAACATATAACATCAATATTTAACTTTTATAATCATAAAATAAATAATAAAATAATTGATATCAATTAAATTCACTAAAATAAGGTCATTTTACTTAGAGATTCGTATATCGATCATGCAGTCATACCGGTGGTGTCATGCCTGTTTTATGACCGATACCAGTTGAACCAGGTACAACCGGTGGCACGCCGGCCAGCGTGACAACCATGCTTCTCACAAATAAAAACCACCAAAATTATCCCCTTTTCTTTTCTAAAAACTTCAAAGAATATAATTTCTCTCTTCTTTCTCTTCCCAAAAAGTTGAATACACCAAAATTTTCCTATTCTTTTAAAAGCATCAAATTATCAAATACATTGTTTTACTTTATTTATATTTAATCGATAACTGTATTGAATAGTTAAATTAACCAAAATTTTAATTTATATATTATATTAATATTGTCCATGATCTTAATTATTAATTATTATATTCACATTGTATTGATTTTACATTTCATATTTACTTTTTTAATTTTGTTAAAGAACTTAGTGTGCAAGTGACCTTCGTGTTTCAATTTTTGTAATTTTCTTAAAATATTTTTAAATTTGCTATACGAAATGAAGAAATCATTTTACCTAAGTTTAGAATGAAAAACTTTATTTTGAAAACTATGTATTATATAATATAATAATGATTCAAGTATATTAGGTGAAGTTCAGGTTGAGTCGGTCGGGTTGCGGGTTAGTCGGGTTCGGTTCAATTGGGTTCGGGTTAATTGGGTTGCGGGTTTAATAAGGTTGCGGGTCAATCGATTTCGGGTTAATCGGGTTGCGGGTCAGTTGGGTTGCAGGCCAGTTGGATTCCGGTCAATGGGGTTGCGGGTCGGGCCGGTTACAAATTGTTGACTTTTAGTAAATTCTGGTTGCGGGTCGGATTGATCCGGCGGATTAATCGGATCGAGTTGTATTTTGACAATACAATCATACAAATACACGGTTTTGACATGGATTTCAATTTCGTTTCTCTGTTTATTTGCCAATGTGAAATCGAATAATAGAATACTTATTCTTACAGCCGACAATTAAGTAGACATGAGAAGTCAGGCAAGACAGTAGATTACAATCAGGATTCAGGAGACAGAATTCAAAATAGTGTTGTTTGCTACTGTTGCACCTATATTTCCCTCCAAATACCGTACTGTATCATGACGTTATTGTGAATGGCGTGGCTTGGGCATGGGAAACCCAACCAAGCCTGGGCCCTGCGGCCCACAAAAACACATGTACCCAATCCAATCCAATCTCCTTTTGAAGGCGGGAAATTGCATGTCATTCAATCACGTCACAGTGTAGTAGGGAATAAAAATACAATTTTTCGTGTCTTCCGATACACTTGGTGAAAGTGAAAATGCCACTCTTTTTCCAAAGTCTTCTACCTACGTGGCGCGGTGGTGCACAACACTTTGCGTTTGTCAAATAATTGAGTTGAATCCCATTGTCAATTACAATAGAAATTAATTATTTCCCCCCTATGAGCTAATCAGGTGCAAAATCTGAAAATCCATATTTGCATACCTTTACAAATTCTCGTCTCTTACCATTATATTAAGATAATGATAAACAATCATAATCATATCAATTCATACCACCATAACAATTATAGTTAGTTATATGCTACACAAAGAGTAGACCTGGCAATAGGGTCGGGTTGGGTAATTTCGGATTGAGAACTTCGGTTACGGGTCGGGTGATGTTTGGTTGGCTTATTTCGGGTCAAATATTGACCCAACCCATTCGGTTTCGGGTCGGGTTACAGGTCATTTGGATTTCGGGTTACAAAAATTCCTAGTTTTCGGGCGGTTTCAGGTCGGGTCAACGAGTCGGGTTATAATTTGCCAGGTCTAACAAAGAGTGATTATAAACCAAAATCAAAGCCTTTTTTCTAACTCCAGTATCGGAATCTATCCTTCTTCAATAAAAGCACAATATCTATAACTGATAACGCAAGGAAATGTCAAATTCCTTTGCTATTTCTAAAGTCCAACACATTTATGCCTACATTAATTAACTATATTTAACACATCCTTAAATTAATTCCTGATTTCGTAAACCACACATATACTTCCCTCTTGCGTTATTTTTCCTCTTCAAGCAACCAATTGAGGATCTATAGTAGTAGGTATGAAAATGTGGAAAATATATAGCGAAACGTCGCACAAGAGACAGTGACGTGGGAAATGTTCGGTCGCTATAGCTAGCTAGGTGCGTGGACTTCAGTGTCAAGAACAAAACCGAGTATCTCTCTTTTTAGCATGTTTTGTCTCTCCCAAAGTTAAAAGAGCGCTCGGTCTGTCGTCGAAAGGATCTTCACAAATCCACGCCTAAAAGAACCAAATCAAAGGAAAGGAATAAGAGAGAAATAGGTACGTAGCTTTTTTTTGCCAATTCCCAAGTCCACACAGACAAAGCCTACAACAAAGTTGCGTTGCAGCTGCTGCAACAAAGCAAGCACCCCACTTTTTCCTTCTTTTTTTGTTTTAATTTCCACCCTATCTCCTTCTTAATTTAAGGCGACGAAGCAAAGGCAAAGGAAGATACTTAATTGTACGTAGGTACTAAGCTCATTACTTTAGTACTCATAGATATATTAAATGGAAGTAATTAAAGACGGAATGATAACAGCCAGCTAGCTAATTATTCTCATCATGATTACGATGCGGACGGCGACAATCTCCTGCCTTCTGGATGCAGCGGGAAAAGCTCCAGCGTCCTATCTCCTCCGCCGCCAGCCTCTTCCTCCGCCGCCACCTTCTCATCGTCCTCTTCTCCTCCTCCGCTGCTGCCACTATTCGACGACCCACCGCTGCTCTCCCGCTGATAATAATAGTTATTACATTGACGGTCGGCAACTTCCGATGGTTGGATCCCCCAACTCCTGCACTTCCTCTTGCATGGAGATTGACTCATCGTCATCTCTGCCCCCGCCAGCTGTCAACAATAACAACAAAATAAAATAAAAAGTAAGTAATTTTAGAAAACAGTATACATCATCATTAACTAACTTTCTCTTGAGTTACTGGGACCAGTTGGTTCGAAGAAAAAAAAATGTGTGACGTATGCTGCTGATGTGTGACATACCCGAATGTCAAGGGTGGCAGCAGAACGGGGAGAGTGGGAAAGGAGGCCGAGTGAGGTGCGCTTTTGCTTTTGGCGCTCGCGAGCCTTGTGATTCTGGAACCAGTAGAAGACGTTTTTGCCCTCGATCTTCCCGTACCTCCCAAGCTGGGAGGTGATCTGCTCGATCTGCTGAGCGTTAGGGGTCCTCATTCCGCCTCGATACAGCATCTCGAGGATCCCTATCTGTTCCTGGGTCGGGTTCCACCTCGTCCCTCCCGGGTGTTGGCTCGTGGCAGTCGGCGAGTGTTTGTTGTTGTCGTCGGATGGGGAGGTGGATGCCCTTCTGGCCCCGCTTTCGGGCCGAATGAAGCTCTTGAGGTCGAAGGAGGACGGAGGAGGAGGAGGAGAAGCTAGTTTCGGAGCGAGAGGGCGTAATCGCTTCGTAGAAGAAGAGTGTTGAGCGGGGAAGGAGAGGGAGAGAGAAGGTGGTTGTAGTTGTTGCTGATCTTGCTGTTCCCAGAAGAAGGCTGATGTTGTTGTTGTGGTTGGAGGTAAGTGGCGATGGACTTTCATGCTTACAACTCCCATTTGAATATGAAATGAGAGTCGGTTGAAGAAGAAGGAAGAAGAATTGGGTGTGGGGAGGAAAGGGAGGAATGAGGGAGGTGGGATTTATAGAGAGGGAAGTGGGAAGATAAGAGTTTGAACTTGGAGACACATGAGGGTGTAGCAAAGACCAAATGATGAGGGTTGGTTGACTTATCATTTCCATATTCTCCCTTTTTTCTCTCTCTCTTTTCTGTTTTCCACCTAGGGTGGTGACAATTGACAGGAGGAGAGGAGATGAAAGAAAAGCATATACGACAGTACTATAAAGTGAGTGAGTGATAAGGTAAATAGTAACAGAAGATGGGAAATTTTACTTTTGTCATGTCCATTCTGTTAAATTCAGTTTTCATGTGGTATATTTATTCTTCTTTTGTTTAACTTTCTCGCCTTCTTCAACTATCACTATCTCTTCCTTCCTTGTACAGTAACATCTTTAGCTGGTAGTGTTTAGGGTTTAACAGTTATATATATGACTCTTAATTTCTTCATTGTTTTCCCTTTCCATCAATTGCCCTTTGCAACTCACTAAAGTAGGGAGGGAAGTGCAAGGAGGGATAGTCCGTTGCAAGGGCGAACCCAACACCTAATCGTTCATTGCGTTCTCAACGACTAAAAAAAATGTATTTTACACGATAGTTTTATTTTCATAGAGATATGCAGGTTTTGCTACAAATTAAGATGATATGAAAACTTATTAGAGTATGTGTAGTACGTACGAGTAGTATTGTGTTATACTACGAGTACTAGTATGTAATTGGGTAGAGTTACCGTATCAGTGTTAGAGTTATTATAGAAGTCAGTCTCTGCACTCTATATAAACCCTACGTGGTTTCAGTATTAAGACACAACAATTTCCACTAAATACAACTTTCTCATCCGGAGCAAGGATAAACCTGAATCGGTCGAAGACAAGGAACCGACTGAATGAAGCGACATTGTTCTGGTCTGCATCAATACCTACCGAGAGCAATCCAGCAATGGCGTGAGCTTATTTCCAACTCAATACGCGTCACTTAATTGCCTCTATGATACAATGAAAGGTGTACTGATGGAAATAACGATTGGGCAATGCGTTACATTGATTTTTGTTAAGTTTTGATCTTGTTTAGTTTCAAATTTACGATACGATACAAGCAATGGCAACTGAATAGAAGTATATAGAACTAGCAAGAAATCAAAAGGGTTTGAGTCTATTGGATGAGTGGGGAATTAGAGCGAGCGTGTGGGTAGTGATGGAGTGAGTGAAGGGAAGGGGAGAGTATGCATATATTCGTGTGGGTTGGGCAGTCTAATCGATCGGATGACCCAATTTCCTCTTTTCCTTTTCTTTCTTCCCACCTATAGCTTTGCTTTCATGATGATCATCATAAGGTGTGCTTTTCGGTGCCCTCTTGATAAAGTAGGAACCAACGAATGAAGGAGGGGAATGATCATGGAAATTCATGTTCAAAAAAGAAAGAGAGGAAAAAAAAAAAAAATTGGGAAAGGGGATTCCTCCAATCCCAAAAACTTGAAAAATGGGACTTGTTTGGTAGATTGGGTTTTGGTTTTGTTGTTTGCTTTTCTAAGATACGGATTTTGTTGTTGCTGGCTGGGGGAGGAAAAAAGAGGGCCAAAGTGATAATATATATGATGAATGCCGTCTTTGAGTGAGTGGTCGACAGATAACAGATTGGTGTTTGAAAAGAGGAATATAAACCACAGCTAAGCTATGAATTTATGTTATTATTATTACGTGTGTGAGTGCGTGTGTGTATATATGCACAAAATCCTGCGTACAATAATAATGCAATTTAATAATAATAAAGATAAATTATATAAAGACTTTTTGTGTCAATCTTGTTGGTTGATGCTGATTTTGTTGTATTTAAATATTTAACGGACTAAAGAGTAAAGACTCATCTTTATCAGGCAACAAGGTATATAACGAATACGCATTTTGATAATCAAACTCCTAAAACAATAAGCCAAGTCTTTATAAAGATGGCAACAAGGTATATAACGAATACGCATTTTGCTTGACTTGGATGAGCGTATTTGAGTGAATAAAGATGGCCAAATTCTATTTTTTTTACCCTTTTGGCTATGTGAAAATCAGATGGATCCTTTTGTCATGAAGAATTTATACTTGATCCATTTTGAAACGATTACGTACAATTATTTTTAAATAGATAATTTTATTGCCTCGTTATAAATAATTACTTAAAATAAGACAATTGGTCAAATTATCGGCTCTATCAAACTATCCCGATAGTCAACTGATGAGCAACTTTTCCCAACTTCGATGGTCCAACTAGTTGCATGCCCTAAATGACATTGAGGGTTTCCGCAAGAGATGAAATATGATTCTTGATTGCCAAACAACCATTAGCTCTATGGAGAAATGAAAGGGGAATCCAACTGATGGAGGCACGACCAGGTCAGTCTGCCGGTCCGACCGATGCCTCCGACCCAATCCGAAGTATCAGCAGTAGCGAGATTTTGTTTATGTAATGTAGAGGTGGGCATTCGGTCGGTTCGGTTCAAACCGAACCAAAAAGATGATTACCGATACCCATATGTCTGTCAAAGTTCAAACCGATTCCGAACAGAATTATATTTTGGTTCGGTTTGGCAGAACCGAAATATTACTCGATTCGGAATGGAAACCCCGACAATCCGATATTCTCCCCCGCTCTCTCTATTTCATCATCTCGCTGACAAAATTCAACCCATTAAACCTAATTTATTTCTCTTCCCCCTCTTTATTCTTCCCTCTGCCGCCGCAACATCAGAGAATCTGCTCTATCAGTCGCTGACGGATGCCCCGTCGAGTCCTTTCTTCTTCCATTCGACGTCACGTCGTGCTCAGTTCTTCTGCCTCCGAGGTCGCGTTCCGCTCCTTCATCGTCGCCTCGTCGGGTCGGCCTCTCCCACCGCATCCCTTTTGCTCCAGCTATTTGCATGCCATTCTCGCCCTTCTAAAATCAAGAATCGGCAGCAAAACCAACCCCGATGGCCGGATCTGATCTCCTTCCACCTCCACCGCCATGAAAACCAGCTTCCCCACTATCGCCGAGCACTCTGCCAGACCCCTTCATCCTATACGACGACACCGCCTTTGAGGAAGTCAAAGGTAAGTTTTGTTTTTGGGTCGCATGCCTACTTTAAAGGGAGATCCCTATCAAAAAAGGGTCAGGGTTCATCAAATCTCTAATCAAGTCCCATTTTATTTTTCCCAATCTTTGATTTTGCAGGGTTGGCGCTATGGTGGCTGCTGTGTGTGAGATAGTGGGGTGAGAGTCTAAGAGACGAGTGCCAAAAGAGTAAAGAAACAAAGGGTGGGCTTAGGGTTTTGGGGGATAGGGTTGTTAGAGTGTTTGGGATTTTGGGCTGTAGCCTGTAGAGTTTGTTGGGCTGAAGCCTGTGGGGTTTGGGTGAATATTATAGCAAAATTTTGGTTTCTCGGTTCGGAATTCGGAATTCGGGTTCGGTTGTGACAACCTTGTTTTCCAAAATAACCCTTTTTCCTTTCCGATTTCCGAACCAAACAACACTAATTCGATTTTGGTTCGGTTAGGTTTGGGTTTACAAAACCGGATGCCCATCCCTAATGTAATGGATTATTGTTTTGGGATTCATTAAGCACATTTTACAAGAATTATCAACCTTAGTTCCCTTCTCCCCTTCTGTTCGACGAACCTCAATCCCACTTCTTCTTCTTCTTCTTCCCCTTGATTTTCATGTAATCATCCCTCATACTTCCATCAGATGGTATCAGAGCGGTTTCAATCCCTGGGAGCGTTCGAGGTAGCGGTCTAGAGTTTCATGACACGACTGCAGGAGCAGTCTGATTCGTACAAACAACAGTTGCGCGAGATGGAGGCAAACCGGTCTCGGGGGCTCGAGCAACCGAAGGTGCTGGAGTCGGGGGAACTCGACGATGACACGACCCTCTCGGCCGCGGCAACATGCTTCACGTTGGAGGGTGTTCAAGCTTCCGGAACCATGTGATTCCGAGCGCAGGTTGGCGACAAGTCCGCCTTGGTGCTGGTCAATATCGGGGCATCATTGAACTTCATCAGCGAATGATTCACGGAGGAGTTACAAGTTGAGCGAGAAGAGGCAAAACCCTTTACGATGAAGGTGGCTAATGGGGCGGCTCTCCCCTGCAAATGGAAGTTCAACAACATGCAGCTTGAGGTGCAGGGAATTGAGATCATAACCACCTTATTTGTATTATCCATATGTGGTGTGGATGTGATTTTGGGAATTCCATGACTATGGACCTTGGGTCCGGTAACTAGCGACTGAAACAAGCTAAACATGAAGTTCAAGTGGAAGGAAAAAGATTTTATGTTGCAGGGTATTTCGACGGTGAAGGGGTTGGTGGCGGATCTTGGGCTATTATATGAGTATGATATTGTGTACATAGCTCCTTGTATGCCGGTGAAGCCGGTAGTAGAGCAAGAAGTACCAGGGGACTTGCGTTGGATGCTAGATCAGTATGTTGTCCTCTTTGAGAAGCCGACCGCCCTACCTCCAGCTCGCTAGGTGGATCATCGAATCTATTTGAAAGAAAGCACCGAAGTAGTGAACGTGCGACCTTCCCGCTATGCGCACTATCAGAAGTCAGAAATCAAAAGCCAGGTTGAAGAGATGCTCGATACAGTACTGGTACGGCATAGTACGAGCCCTTTTTCCTCTCCTGTACTATTGGTTAAGAAGAAGGATGGTACGTGGAGGTTCTACACAGACTATTGGGCCTTGAATGAAGCTACAGTTAATGATAGATTTCCCATTCATATTGTAGATGATATGTTGGAAGAGTTACATGGAGCGTAGTACTTTAACAAGCTGGATTTATGCCCCGGTTATCACCAGATCCAGATGCACGAGGATGACATTCACAAGACAGCCTTCCGCACTCACAACAGGCACTACGAGTACCCAGTCATGCCCTTTGGACTTTGTAATGCCCCATCCACTTTTCAAGATGCAATGAATGGTATATTCCGTGATCTACTGTGAAAGAGTGTGTTGGTTTTCTTTGACGACA